GTGATTATGGATTATCGGGTAGCTGGAGTATCTACAATTTCATTTATAGGTAGAACTCCATAAGATTAGTTGCTAGCTCGAATCTTTTGTTGGATAATTTTTTTTAATATTTTTTTTAATATTTTTTTTTTTAAAAAAAAAAAAAAAAAAAAACTTGTTACTCCTATGCGTTCCCACTAAGGGGGCCATGAGGAGCCACCCGGAAACCCGGGTAGATTCTTTCGTTGGATAAAGGTGGCATTCAGGCTATGGTTTTATCTCAAGAGGGGGTTTGAGTGTTGAGAAGAATTTTGTCCGATTAGTACCTAATGTAATACATGGAAGTGCTGTATCCGACCCAATTTAGTGAGACGAGATTGTACAACTCTATCAAGCCTTTGGACTTAAGGTGTGAGGTTTTCCATGTTTTATTTTAATATTCCAAGTGCTCAACTCCCTCCAGCATTATCATGTTAGATTAGCTATAAAGCTGAATCCAATAATGTCATTGCAGATGTAACAGACTCCGACTAATAATATTAGTATCATATTACTTGTACTAATGAGTTTAACTTACTATTTTATATTCCAATGGAACAACCACGTACCATAGGGTCTTTCATATGGCAGATCCATTTATATTATCCATCAGGCTCATGGCGCATATCAATTAGATCAACTAAACCTCGTTCAATGTCTCTATATTTTCCTATTAATTCAAGTGCGTTATGTATAAAATATAAAATACACTAATTAAATAAATTGCCCGCCGCCCAGAACATATGTATGTACATACCGGGTGTCATAGGCACACTCTACTCACCTGTACCAAATAGGAAATTTGAAATCTCACAATTACCCAATATATCCAAATTGGATTTCCTAAACTTCAGGATTCAGAACTCCATGCTCCTCATGCTCCACCTTAAATCCCATTTAACCTCTCAAAGATCTCTCTTTTTCCAATTACCCTGATATTAGCGATGCATTACCCTGAACTCAGGAATAGCCGTATCTACTCGTTAGTCCAATTATGCCTCAAACACTGGCCTCAAACGTTCTTCCCAGGTTTTCCACGCATAATAAATAATAAGTACCCGGAGTAGTGCAAACCAGACTACCCAGGACCACAAAACTAAATGTACCATCCAGAACCAAGCTACCTCAGAAGCACATCACCTTTCCTCTCGTCAAGATGTTACGTAGGAGCCCTTGGAAGGGAGGTTGTTCTAACTAGATTAGGCCCTTACTCACTCTGACGATATCTCCTCACTTTATCTCATCATTCTTTACTACAGTCAAACCTCACTCATTGCAACATTGCGTAGCTAATCCCACAAGAGAATAGAGCAAATTCACTCCCAAATACCCGCCACTGCCCCCCCCCTCTCGGCTATACTAGGTGCTACTCCTTGGCATATGAAGTTCGCTGGCAGCCCCAAACCTGATAACGCAGAGTTACGAGGTCAGGGGCGGCTAAGGCTACTCGCCCTCATTCGTACCATCCTTAGCATGGTTGATCGTGTGTAGTACTCTACGTATGATCCATTTGTATCTCCTCTCGGAGTCTGTCCTCTAAGGTATGTCCACGTCTCTCTCCTGTGATCCGTATCATGGAAAAGTAGACTCACAAGCTCGTTCAGGATTTGACACGGCTACTCCTCAGAGTGGCGGTGGGGAAAATATTTACGACTGCTGATTCTCACGGCACTGCCTATCACTGTCTAGATTGTTACCCCGCAGAAGGTCACCGCCATATAACCTCGAGGCCTTCCAACCTACGTGGAACCCTGTGGCCTATATATAGTCAAACCTCTCCAGGCCTGGACCCAACCGAGCCGGCTCGAGCCCCAAAATATGTGGTAAAAGCTCGAGCCTCCTTGGAAAATGATGAGCTGGCTCGCGCCCAGGCCTAAACCTCTCTATTGCATCAGCCCTCGGTCCCGAATTATGCTTCACAAAGTATTGAAACAGAATTCCACGAACAATAGCCCTGTACAAGAGGCGGGCACGATGACCGCTCTCAGGCCGCAATTTCAAAATTCAAACATGCTGCCCACGCCGAAGAAAGTCAAAAAGATTTTGGGCCGCTCGAGCCTCAGGCCGACAGGATCTGAGAGACCCAATGTACCAGTACCGTCAAAATTCAAAATTCGTTACAGGGGCTGCCAGCTCGAGCTTGGCTTAAGATTGTCCCTAGCTAGACCTCCAGGGTGCACTATTTCAGCCAAGTCGCTTTGCTGCTCTCTTCTTTATATTGAGTCGGCTTCTCCCCCTACCTAGGCTCTTCTAAACTAACCTTTGCTCTCCTAGGCTGTCCCCTACAAGAGGCAGAGCGATTCTAGCGCGGCAATGAGGGTAAACACCTATAGGAGGCAGCCCGGCCATGAGAAAGGAGGATAAAAAGAGGAAGCTGTAGAAGGATAAAGCCTACGTAGACACAGCTAATATTCTATATGAGTATAAGTGTGAATAAGGAAGGCAAAAACTCTCTCTACATACGCTCTCGTATCAGTTGCCAAGCTGCATGTGCATCTACAGCTCCCATAACCTGCATTAGGTATATAGCCCGAATCAGGGCTATGATTATGGGTTGTGTCCGAGTAGTATGTTTGTGCCAAACACTAAGCAGGTTTTTGGGTTGCATACAACTCACGACCCGCCCTTGATTGAATGCAATGAATCCTGAAAAACTCTCCACGAGTGAACCAATAAATATCTACAGCTATCCTGTGAGCATTTAGCTTTTAGTTAATATATGGGATTGTTAATCTAGTAATTTGATTGGTTTACGCTATATATCAGTTTCAGAGTTTTTTTTCTTTTCTTTTCTTTTTATTTATACTCGTACGCACCATGTTTTGGGACGGTATGGCGAGATCAATTTCAGGGAAAACTTTTGGTACCAGCCTTATTACGTTAGTTACCGCAATAAAGCAATACATCCAATGGGATTTATATTGCGACGATCTGAACGTACTGTACCTAAGTAGATATGAGACAAGCTACTGCATAAACTGAGTATGAAAGACGAGAGTCTTCATTCTCCTTTTATGCACTGTAGAGGAGACTTCCTGGGCAATTACCCTGAAGATTAAATATGATATGATAGCCCACGGCCAGGCTCGAGCTCCGAACAGGAATCTCCCTCAAGATTTAGTCCTTACAATTTTAAGAGCCCGGTTGGCAGTATTGATGTGAACCCCGATTTTAAATCATGAGCCCCCTGCGTCTCCGCTGCCCGGCACGACAGCAGTTCGTTGTGGATAGCATGACAGTAGTTATACTACCTCCGCACGGTAAAGCTTCTAATTCGCGATATAATTACAGATTATTGCGCCAACGTTACCTAATCTAGGTAGGTAGGTATGCAGGCACGGGGAATTAAAATCCAAAATGTTCGAAGGCAAATTTGATGACTCTCCAAAGACAAAGTCCGGACGAACCAATCTCGGCGAAAGTAAGGGCAAGCACACAAGGTGAAGGCAAGCCACATGAGAGACCGAAAAAAAAACAATTTATAGATTAGAATGATTATTCACCATCTTTTTGGAAGTGGGGAGGTCGAAGGAGGGTTATCTCACCAGCTCTAGTAAATCGCGATTGCGGAGCTGTTTAAAGGGCGCCTTAGGCTCTCAACCAGCCTATAATTGGCCATGAGAGACCTCGAATCACAGGTGCTGAAGCTATAGGGACGGAGGGGTGTCATAGACATTGGCCAAAGAGCTGAGGGCGGTAGAGAGGCTACTTGGACTGCTCTGGCTTCAAAAGGCATCAGGAGGGATGCTCATGCGTCTCAGGGAAGGATGTTGCTACATGAGAATAGCCTGATTGAGGCTCGCAAGACATATAGTAAGTACAATACCGAAGGAGCTGATTTTTGGACGCTCAAGATGAGGTATTTTGCGGCACGTGTCTTGGATTCATGAGGATCCTGTGCTTCACAGTGATGTAGATCACTAAGAGCACCCATAGAGAATCTATTCATGCTATTTTACAGCCATATTTAGAGCCATGTACAGAGGGTGGTGGTGGTTGGAAGCGTCCATGGTATAGAGGGTTTGATTGTAGGCACTGCTGAGGTTGTCAGTGCTATAGCGAGTTCAGGGCAGCACTGGGAAGGCTGCCGACGTAACAATCGAGCTCAGCTGTAATTAGCCTATGGACGTGATTACAAACTCTCACCCCATGATATAGAATGTCGCTGAATGCAGTGTGTTGATCATTACACGAGTTCTATGCCAATAAATCCTCGTACAGGGGTCGCTTTTACAGCTAAATCCACGAAAATTGCCCTCTTTCCCCCCCAAAAAAACACAAAATCTAAAATAAACAAGGTAAAAGCTAAAGCTATACCTCCAGAATTTTAAAGCTGAGATACTGGGCTCTAAGTCGCCCGAAGTGTAACTGAGGTGGCTGCCATGTACCCTCCCATACGAATTTATATGACAATGTGATGTATTCAAGTTTGGCTTCGTGCACCATCTGTGTACTCCGTCCGCTAAGCTGATTGAATCATAATTGATAAGGTGGGTGATCTTGATAATTATTTGAACCAAGAACGCTTTTGCCGAATTTGGCTTGTAAAAGCTCCCCTGTAAGGAGTCTTATGGCACGGAATTGCACCTAGATACCCTCGTGTGTACACTTAGAGTTACCTATAGATCTTCTGGAAAAAGCTACAGTCACACGGCGAAGGTTTGTGTACGACGATTATCGGTCTGTGAGTGACTTAGATATGCAATGTGACCTACGAGCTCTTTGCATAAGCAGTACTGTGTACAATTCCTATCCTAGAGCTCCAAGAGCCCTCAAGTTTAGCCTAGCTGTCCTTTTCACGATATTATTCCATTTTCTTGAATTTATTTTCAGTTAGTTTACACGGGCTTTCCAAAATGGCATAATTCCGTGAGAAGTAGACACGCCAGCCACAGAATCTAAGTGTCTGTCTATGATTGCCAACCTTATAACCACTACCGGTAACCCTTATCGAGTTATCAAGCTATAAAATATTTCAACTTGCCTGGTTAGCTCAGTTGGCTAGAGCGTGTGGCTTTTATCTGAGTATGATGAAAACCTCAAAGTCACGGGTTCGAACCCCGTATCAGGCTTCTCCTATTTTTTGGTTCGATGGTAGGTCAGCAGTTTCATCAAAAAGGTTGTATTTAATATCTGGATGCTGGCTATGTCAATTATTGATGATTGCAATCTTGGCAGTGCCTGGTAGTGCAGCTAAGTTGGTGTCCGAAGAAGAAATAGGAGTGGTAATAACCTGGTCAGAAGGGGAAAAGAAGCTAGAAAATGCAAAATAAGAGATTTAGAGGGACGGAGTACAGGATCGGGGGTTGAAATTGAAAAGGAAGCAAGCGAGCTTGAAACATTCATGTTTGTAGAAAAATGCATCACTCAAAATACTCCTACGTAAAATTACCAAAATGTCTGCCCAGTTGCAAACGGAAATCTGTGCCAGCTTGTGTTACATAATAAAAGTATCTCCTTGTACTATGTTATCTCTCCTTATTCCACCATGGGCGAGAGGTTAGAAGTTGCTCATAGGAACCCTTTATCTCGACTAGGTAGGGATGCGATACATATGTACTAAGTAGTTAGACTACCTGTAGCCTCTAGTGCTGCTAATCCCCTTCAATTTACATGGCAAACTTGAAATCATATTCAATCAAGATAAGTCAAAATAATGATATTCATAAGCTAAATTCCGTATAGTATCGAAATATGCATGGTATATAAATACTTTCCCACCTATTCCTTCCTCGCCACCCACGCCTGTGCCAAATACTCGTTCCTCCCTATCCCCTTCCAGTCAATATTATACCCCGCCCTTAACCCCACGACCTTCCCACTCCCTAACGTATCCACCCATCCATCATAATCCCCCGAACCCTCTCTCCACCCCCCCTCAGGCCCTTCCTTCCTCATCTTTCCTACAATATCATCAAATACGAACCCCATCCCCTCCGCGACAGCCACAACCTCCTCCAAACTCAACTCCACCCACGGCTTTGTCCCGTAGAGTAATGGACCGAGGTTGATCCACACTCCCCCTGGCAAGAGGTAGTCGTGTATTTTGCGGAGGTAGGTTGGAATGGATTGTGCCGTGTCGAGGAAGAAGAGTGTGATGATGCATGCGTATAGTGGAGGTGAGAAAAGGGGGTGGATGGTTGTGAAATCTGATTCATAGAGGAACACGCGGTGTGCGGCGTGAGTATCTACGAGTGGGTATATTATGTTGGAAGATGATGGCGGGGGAATCGCTGATGGCAGAGGAGCGTAGGAATGAGGAAAGTGTAAAGGGCGAGTCATGTTTGAGTTTGTAACGTGATGAGACCACCAGTCAATATATGGATATATCGTATGCTGTCCCTTGTGTTCATCACCGTTCACTTCAAGTCCTGTGTCCATGATTGGAACTGGTCCTGCGCTGCCAACGAAATGTTGCATAATATTCATCCAGAAACTCCATTCCACTCCAACCGCCTCAAACCCCATCGCAGCTACCTCCCACAGCAACCCACCCACCCCACACCCAGGAAGCAGGATCGTCACACCCTCTCTTCCACCTTCGGGGAACTCCTGTGCAAGCCATCCCTGAATCAAACCAAACGTCCTCTTTCGCTCAGCCGTCCCTTCGGTACTGTAATCCCTCACAAAATGCTTCAGTGCTTGCGTCAAGTGCGTGTGATCCCCCGCTCCTCCACTCCCTGATTCAGTCGCCCTCGCAAAAGCCACCACTTCTTTCCTCGCCACAGCATAATACGCACAAGCATGGTCTAAAATCTGTTCCACCACCTTTGCAGTATGCCTCACTCCTTTCTCTGCGTTCGCCAACTTCGCAGAATAATCCACCCCCGCCTGTTGCAACAAAAGCCTATCCTGCCTCACCAACTTCGCAAACGCCTTCCTCTTCCTCGTCAATGCACCCAGTGCTCTACTCCTGTAAAGATGTAAAGAGGATAATGTCACGAGTAACCTAGCCCTCGTAGCTGGTGTACTAGCAATTTCTTCCAGGGTTTGTTCTCGGGAAGATAGCTGCGCCGGGGTAAGGTGGGCAACGACATGGTCTGTAAGTATAGTCTCGGAGGCACTCTGGGGAAGGGCTTGGGTTACGGTTAACTGGAGGGGGAGACGGTGGCCGTATTTGTATTTGTGGAGGATAGCGAGGGAGGGATATTGGATGACGACGGCGGCGAGGAGGATGGCAAGGCATGTGATGAGGAGGGCAGCAGAGCGAGAGAGTCCCTGGGGTGGGGGGCTGGGTTCCCTTGTGGGCAGAGGGCCCTCCATGGTATAGAAGTGCCGTTGACTACGTAAATATCAACGTAAATATCAGCAACTGCTTGCGATTCGTCTCGCCACTGAAAAATATATATATACACTGTCCTAAGTCGCCTCTGTCTGATACGTCTCGTATCTGCTTAAGCAACTGTAACCGTAGCCGGTCCGAGCCGCACAAACAAGGTAACCACCAAGGTGTCCACTCCTCTGCCAAGACTTCAAGCAACAAGAATTTCAGACCGAGTACCGCATAATCTCGGATATGCGGTACAAAAACTTGATACGATAATCCGGTTAGAATTAACCCGAACTTGAACTGCATAAACTGGAAATGAGGATTTATTTGGCACCTCTAAAAAGTCAATGGGGAGACCGATGAAGGTGCTATAGGTTTGGGTAATGGACATGGGCGTAATCTAGCTAGTTAGCTGAAGCGATATGAAGAATATAGATGGCCCTCCGCAAGTATGAGAAAAATGAGGTTTATGGTATCTTGATAATGGCTGTCGGGTGAGCTCATTACCCTGAACACAATGACCTGTTTAACTTGTCAATATGCAAGTGTGGCACAAGGTAACTACACAAGGCATCTTACCAAGATATTGCCAAATTTGATGCTGGCAACTTACATTCCCAGAATTGACCGGCATGCAACTAATGCCATAGGCTGTTCTGTAAGATCATCCTTAAGCCTCACCCGCTAACTATATACATTCTCCACATATTCTGCTTCCTTAACTACATTGGCCCAGCATGCAATTACGAAAAAAAAAAATTTTTATACGCATCATTGTTACATATATTTTATATACTACTTATTGAGTAAATTATTTATTTATTCATATGCGGTCTCATTAAGGGGAATGAGCCAGCCGGAAACCCTGGTGGATTCAGGATAAGGCAACTTGATCTGCCACATCCGGCGACTATACTAGTATACCGCAAACAAAAGAACTCGAAGTCCCAATTGGGAAAGCAGATAGAGTTAAAAAGCAATCAGATAAACTGAACCCCTATGCTGTCATTAACCGGCTAGTGCCAGATGACCCCGAGAGGCCTGCCCTAAGCCTTTCTTCATTAACCCCTCTTCCGGTAAGCTTTCTGTAAAGGAAAACCGAAGAAAGCCTACAAAACTTGTTCCAGTCCATCCTCGTCAAAATCCTCCAAGGACGGCACAATATATTTGCCGGCCCTTCTTAATGTTCGATCTACTTTCATGCATTACTCCCACTCTGTATTCCATTCCATGCTTTGTTCCACGTTTTACTATATATCAGAATTTTACTTGGGATTTTACTTGGGTAACTATGAGCTCCCGTGTTCTCCAGCGGTAGACAGGCCTCCCGGGATATTGAGTTCTCGCGGCTTGCCTTGGAACATAGCTACAGTACTCCGTAGGCGCCAAGCCTGAAAGGTATTTCCGAATGTGGTAGTCGCCGTGAGGACGAAAATACTGTCGCTCGTAGAAGAGATAATATTGTTCCAAATATCAATTAGTAGAGAGACGGTCACTCTCTCAAGAGATCCGCTCTCCCCCTTCCCACCACACTTAGTCTGGTTCACCCACCACCTACAATCCTTTGGATACATTGGGGGCATTTGCCTTCTGTATGCTTTGGCACTATGTAGTAGTGCCTACTCAGTTAACCAACGATTGAACATGAACGCGCTCAGACCGGAATGTCGCGAATACATCACAGCCTCCTGTTTATTCCCTATATCAACTGCATATGAGTACCGCTAAGTAAGCTCAAAGTGGTGATATGACCGTACAGATAACAGAATAGATTGCAATGGCAATCAGCCCAAGAATTGACGATTCCATAGTCAGTACTGGATGTAATAGGCTGCGATTTATGATGAAACGGGACATAGTTTCTATGGATGATGGGCCGGGAGGTGAGGAAGAATTTGTGGTAGTTGATATGTTGGTTCTTGCTGTCCAACTTCATCCCGCGGGCTTATAGTTAACTGTAGAATATTCATAATCCTGACAAGGTTTACCCATTTACTAAAATAGCCTAGAGTGGCCAGCTTTTGACCATTGTTCCAACAGCTCGTTGAACAATACTAGAGGCTGAACATGAGACCAAACAAGTCTATGCGAACGCACGGAGAAAATCATTAGAGCTATAGTTACTCCATTACAGGATATCTACAACTCCGACGAAAATGATACCATGACCGAAGCAGTTGACTGACAGCAGAAAGATATGGCAACGTGGGCAAAAGTCTCAAGCCAGCTGCGGCAAAGTCAACTTAGGAGTTCCTGTTTGCAAGCGAATCTATACTTCTTTCCATCTGTGATGGATTTACTAGATAAAACATTGTTTCTAATTCGAGTTTATATTACAAACTGTCCATGCAGCGCCAATGTTGATGACTAGGCGAGGAATATTTGTGATCTCCGAAGCGCTGACAGGAAGCTTTGCCTTGCATAAGTGTGTCCTTTTTGAGTAGCATTTAAAGCTAATCACTGGCATTCACTCTTTCGAGACCCGCTCGAAGCGAAAAGTACCTGCTTGCTACATAGACGAGAACAGCTCTCTAGCAAGTGAGATTCACCTGTCGATATCATGTTTATTTGGTAACAGCTGGTGAAAAAAAATACCCTAGTTAGGCTATGTTGGGGAGTGAGAGACTACCTATGGTAAACATGTATTGAAGTAGACTTCTACGTCTCTGCTATAGCTAGCTAGACTGGATGACCTATCAAAGTCTCGATATCTTCTAAGATAGCCTAATTACAGGCCCAGATTTCTCACTACCACCGAATGTCTGGAAAGTAGAAGTTCAGAGTAAAGAGAACCTGGATAGG